TGACTGCAGAGCGTTTCAATGTGCACAGCAGCACGTAGTGTTTGGTCTCTTTCCTCCCGCGTGTATGTATTGAAAAGAAGTAAAGAAGAAACAAAAAAGGGGAAAAAAGATCGATACAACGATGAGCACCGCCCGCACACACAGCAAGACACAGGCAGAGAAAGAGGGCGAAGGGCCGAGAGCACAGCGACTACCGCCAGCAGCAGCAAAGAACAACAGCAACGACGGGGAACTGCGGCATCGGCTCCGCATACGCCCCCGCAGGCACCACATGTAAGTCGCAGCCGTTTACTTTTTGCAGCCATTCCATGGGACGCGCCGTGTTTTGCCAGTCACACGTCAACGCCTGCCCACAAAGAAACAAGTAAAGAGGAGAAGGAGAAGGGAGGAAGGAGGAAGGAGGAGTCAAAGACATTGCCGCCCATGGCATCTCCCACAAACAGGGAGCCCGGCTCCTCCGCAACCCCCAGCCACCTTCTTAGCAAAATAGAAGAAATCAAACAAAACAAGCTGAACAAAAAATAATAATAAATCTGCCACTTGTGCGGAGACCGCGCGACGCCCCCATTCACCCCACCAACACGATGGAGCGCGCCGTACACAACAAAGCAGAACAAACAGCACACAAACACCATCGCAGCGCCGTCACCCCACAAACGAAGAGAACCTGACCCTCCACACAACAGAGTCACACCACGCCAGCATCCACCCACGACGGAGCAGAGCAGCAACCCACACCCACTCCTCCGATCACACACGCGCACACACGGGAACTGAACCTGCAACCATCACATGGCACGACGCCCACACCGCCCCACCATTCCACACCGTTCCAGTTGACGATGCCACCACGCAGCGCCTTGCATCCGCAAGAAAAGGAAGAATGACCCACAGCGCAACGCCTCCCCCTTAGTCTCTCTCTTCCCTTCATCCCCACGGAAGGAGGCAGCAGCACTCGCATGTGTCACTGCCGGCACCAACTACAAAAACATCCTCCACGTGCAACTGCAATATATATAAATCGTGTGTGTGTGTGTGTGTGCCTGCAGATACAAAACTTTTCAAAAAAGAAGAGTAAAGCGTGTGAGGACGCACATACATACACAGAAGAGATGCAAGACGCAAAGATGGGAAAACTAGATGACTAAAACTCAAAATGGCACCGCAGCCCACGCAGTGGTAGCACATCAAAGATGATTTACCAAACACAAAAACAAAAATGCTCCTTAAGACGTTTTCACAGAAAAAAAAATGTCGTGGAAGGCCCCTGTGCGATCCTCACAGTTCCACTCACATTTTGGCCGCATATAAAAATCAATTTACATATTCGTTTCAATTACCGAGAGCCCCCAGTGTCCACACACTGTTTGACTTTCACACGGAACCGCGGTGCGTTGCTGTGGCTCTCATTCCTTCCTTTATTCTTTCCTTTTAATTCTCAGCAGACACACATTGCCGAGAGCGTCCACAGACACCCAAGAAAAGTGGTTAGTTGTTGTTTGTTTTCGTGTCTTTTCAAACGAATTCAGTGGCCTGCGCGTCAGCCAGCGCCGTGGCACACGTCCGCACCGCGAAAAACCAAGACGTAAAAAAAAAAGCCCCGGTCCATCCCGCGGTGACAGCAGTGCGGAGGCGCAGTGAAGCATCTCCCCCGCCGCTGGGCAAACACGCAGGCGCAACGCCCTCGCCAAGAAAAAACCGACAAAAAACGGCAAACCAAAAAAGAAAACATCCGTAAAGCAGTATACCAACAAAACACTGAACAAATACAGACAGAAAAAAGGGTGATTCGTCTCCAGTCATTGCTAGAAGCGAACAATATAAACAAAAATGGAGGAAATAAAATACATGAGGACCCCGTTGTACTGGCGCCGAGAGGAGTGCGCAATTTGTGGGTCAAAAAAAAAAAGAAAATAAACACAAAACACGTGACTACATGAGACTTTATTTACTTCTGAAAGCGCGTGGAGAGACGGAGATGCTCTCAGTAGAAGCACAAACTCCCCTCCACCGGGGTCCACTCAGCACAGGGTCGCAAAGCCCCATAGCCCCAATAGCAGCAGAAGCAGCCGAGACACACACCCACGCACCGTGCCGTCACCTCTTCCTGAATCGGGCCTCACACGTGTAGGGTTGTCGAAAGCAACGGAGCTTTCACCAGAAAGAGAAATGTTGGGTGCGTCCTTCGCAAGAATCGCGCTGGTGCTTTCGGATCCACCGTCAGCCATGCTGCCGTCGTCGGATCCGCCAGCCAGGCGCACCTTTGGCGATGACGAAGCTGGCGATGATGAAGCTGGCGAAGATGAAGCTGGCGATGAGGAAGCCGGCGATGAGGAAGCCGGCGATGAGGAAGCCGGCGATGAGGAAGCCGGCGATGAGGAAGCTGGCGAAGA